TACCACTAGTGGATGCAGATGATGAAGATAAACCTAATTTTAATTCAGGTGCTGAAAAGACTCTACCCCTTAATTGTTCTGCTGAATTACACATGTTTAACAAGAATATCAGAATTTGTGTCCTGTTCTTTAATGGCTAAAGTAACAGATGATCATATATATATATAATTANTATAATATAATATGATATAATATAACATAATATATTCAAACTATGAATATTTTTTAAATTTAAATTTAATATTTTAGGATTCTATTTATTGAATATTATCAAAAAATTACTTAAAAATTTTTTAACTAAATTTTTTTTTTATTTTAAAACAAAATTTATTTTTTTGTTCGCTAAATGTATATATATTTAATTAAGATCATTAATTGATCATTAATTAAGATAATTAATTAATTATATTCATTTTATGAAACATAGATTTTATAAATTTAAAAATTAAATTTATATCATACCCCAGATTTTAATTCATTATATAATTTGTCAAACTGTGTTGCATCACATATTGATAATTTTTCTCTTATTTGATTTCCTATACTAATTTCATCCTCTTGTAATGTTTCTATTCCTTGAGTTGATGATAATAATCCAAGAGAAAAACGCATCCATTTTCTAATTATTTCTGAAATCATAATTTAATATAAAAAAAAACTTTTTTCAAATTGAAAATATAATTGATATATACAATATATACAAAATATATAAAATTTAATTTTAATTTCTAAATGTGAATTATTCATAAACTATTCATTATGAAATATTTCTAATTTTTTTAATAAAATATAATTCATAAATGAAAATTATAAATGTTTCATTTACAATTATTATTTAACAAAATGCTTTTTTAACATAAACGAACATATAGAAAAATTAAATTTTACCTGGCTTTTGTTCTCCACAAAGCGAAATAATCATTTTTTGGACGAGATTACCAACAGTTTCAGCTTCCATCATGTTTATTTTTAATATATATTTTTATTTTAATTATATTTAATATTAGTTTATTTAAATAAAGATTATATATAAACTCAAGTTATCGCCATTCGTGCAACTAATTTACGTATGCGCATTAGTTTGTTATTGTTATAATATCATATGAACTTAGTGTTGTGTATTTGCTTCATATTATATATCGCAAAGTTAGTTACAATTTAGTATTTCGAACTTAAATTGGAGATAATTCCAATGTAACCTATTCACCATATTCATAATTTTTATAATACAATTATATCTTGAAATATGAAAATGTGTTTTCAATTAATTCTAAATTTATTATAAAAATTATTAAATTCTTACTGAAATTAATTAAATTCTATCATTTAAGTATACTTAAATTTAATAGCTAAAAAAAGACTATTGTTATACTACACTTTAGGGATTTTTTAATTTTTTTTTTCAATTTTTCTATCTCAATTTTAATTATTGATTCCTTTTTACTTTTTTTAGAAACTTTATTTTATCATTAAAAAAAGAAATTATAACAATTAAAAATCAAGATAATATATAAAAGTATTATATTAAATTTATAATAATTCAAAATCGTTATGCACGTCATCAGTTTTTATATCCTATTAAATCTAATTTATTTCTTATTTTTTCATATTATTATTTCTTACATATGTTTTCCTATTTCTAATAAATTACAATTCTTGGTCTTAAATATTATTCATATTTAAGCGATTTTTTAATGTATTTATTAATTATATGTAAATTTTCATTTAATTTAATTTATGTTGAATCAAGAATTGAGAAAATTATATAACATAAATGTATATATATAAAATATAATAATAAATATATAATAATAAACTTTTCTTTTCAGATATAAACATTTCTAACTTAAATTGGAGATATATATTTGTAATTGTATATTTATATTAAATATATTTAAATAATTATATTAAAGTATAATAGCATAATATTATATTAATATAATATAACAATATAATATAACAAAAATATTTTCACAAATAAAAATTATAAATTCTTCATTATTATTATAAAAATTTGAAATAAAATAACAAGATTAAATTGTATAATTTGACATGTTTATATTTAATATTTAATAATTATTTTTTAATTTACACTTGATAAAAACATCAAGTTTCATTATTATCATTATTAATAATTTAAAAATGTTGTATTTATTAATCATTAATTTATAATAAATTAAATAATATAACAAATATAACTTATTTAACTTTATAAATTTTGTACATAATAAACATAAGCTTTAGAATTCACAATGTGCATTTCTTCTTCATAAGCAACTACACAAGTTTTTGATACTAATTGTTCTTTCATTCTTTTATAACAATTCCATTGACAATATTCAGAAAATTTTCTAAACTTGATATGTAATTCTTTTTTACCTCCATCAGGTCCTGCAATAAACTCACATTTGAGTTTTTTTTTTTTATCTCGTATACAACATTCTAAATACCTAAAAATCAATTTATTTTTTAAATTAAGAATAAAAGAAAAATGAAATTATAAAAATATTTATAAATTAAATAAAATTATAAATAATATAAAAATTATTTATAATAATTTACTATAATAAAAAAAACTTA